CACCATCAGAAACCCTTCTGTAACATTAAGAGCCCTCCCATGCATGGGCCTTGTCTCAGGTGGTGGAAGGCTCCTCCAGCCCCAGGCTCAAACTTGCTCCCCTAAGGTTGATAGATATCCTAGCCAGCATTACTGCTTTTTCTGATGACCCTTCTGTTTGCCAGAGGCATCTGTCCGCAGGAACTTCCTGGTACCCTCTTGTTTGATAGGAACTGCCCAACCTCAGGGAGGGGGGACCCAGCACTAAGCCTTGGAAGGGATTCCTTCTCCCCTCTGTCTCCCGATGCTGCAGAACACTGAAGTCTCTCTACCTGGCCCCAGCACACTGTGCTATGCTGCAAATCTTCTTCCACAAAATATGGGAGATGAGAGTGCAACACCTTGACCAAGCATTCTCTTCTCGAACAAATATATGCAATATGCACATGGCTCAACTGAAGTTTAAAGGATCCAGAGCCTGGGATGCTGAAGGTTTTCATTGGCAGCATTTGAGAGAGGAATGTACGGGCGGCAATTGCTGAGCAGAAAGCCTGGGATGGGAAGGAGCACAGTGCACACAGGCAGAGGGCGGTATGCCAAGGGAAAGTTATTTTTTTCCTTTGGGTTCTCACTAGTGTTGAAATATTCTTTAAGACTAAGTCTCCCTCACTTTCACTTAAACAACAGCTGGAAGTGCAGCCCTCTGCTGCTGTGCTATAGGCTTGGAGGGGCCTGACCGCCTATGGTGACTATGGGCAGGAACTGGGTGCCTGGGCAGTCACACTGGGTGCCTGGGCAGAGTAATAACATCACTGCGGCTTCGCTGCTACACCAGGAGGGGATGCAGACACGAGGCTGAGAGGTGCACACCCACAGAGTAACCTAGCAAGAGATAACATACAGCTGGCAGTTGACTCATTTCCATCAAGCAGGAAAGAAGTGCTGTGAAAAATAGATCCCCTTCCTCAAACCCCCAGAAGGCAGCACAGGAAGTGTAGGATGTGCACCGTTTCCCCTGCAGTCTCAAGCAACAGAAGGTTGATGACAATACCCAAGTTGTCCACTGGGCGCATGGTGATACCCAGGGAGGTGGGGATGTGCTGAGGTCAAAGGTACTGATCTCTCAGGGATGGGGAGCAGCAGAGGCAGATCCCATGTGCATCACAGCCTGAGCTTATCCTGCTGATTTTCAGGGTGACAGCAGAGTAGGGGAGCTTGTCACTGCCCATAGGAGAAAAAGCAAATGTCAAAAGTAAGCCCTGTGAAGGGCACCTTGAGAACATTCACTCAGCCTTGATCAATCCACAAGAATCCTGGCTGGCAGCACCCACAGCCACAGCCTGACACTCATCCATAGTTCATCCCACAGAGGCCAGGCCTTATCGTGGATTGCTGGTCCCCACCTCACAGAAATGTCTTTGTGACTTTCTGCATCATCACTGCACACCACAGGGAGAAGAACATCCTTCCCCATTTCACAGCTATGAAACCGCCACTGCTGCCCGGGACTGGCATGGGAGCACTTCCCCACACAGACGGCTGCTTCTACGGGCAGCGGTTTGGGAGGGAGAAGCTGGGGCATCTGATAATGCCTGAGCTAGTGGACAAGTTCCTGGATGTGGGCAGGGTGAGGGTGTGAGGAGGCACTTCAACAGGCTGCCCAGAGAAGCTGTGGATGCCGCACCACTGGAGGTGTTCAGAGCCAGGTTGGATGGGGCCCTGGGCAGCCTGATATAACACCTAATGTAGTGGTTGGCAATCCTGCATGCAGCAGCGGGGTTGGAACTAGATGATCTTTGAAATCCTTTCCAACACAAGCCATTTTATGATTCCATGATGCTGCCACAACCAGAAGTCTTTAACGTTGAAGCAGTGTGTATGGGTGGATGACTGCAGCTTGCCCATTTCATCAGAATGTTGGGCTTTCTCCACTGCTTTATTTTACACAGAAGTTTTCAATGCCATATGCCTTGTGGCAAAGCCACCCCATGACACCTCATCAGTACAGTGCATAGCTCCATAAATGCATGCATTAGAGCACAGCACAGAGTAGGTGCTGGGCAGGGCTCGATCCCCTGCATCCCAGCTTCTTTTTTTATTTAATATAAAATACACATCACCAAAAAAAAGAAAAACCACACATGGGCCAACTTCAGAGGTATTATTCCCCCTAGAAAAATTAAATACTCAGAATGCTTTTTTAAAGTGAATTGGGCCCCTTAATTTGCATCCTATAATAAGGATGTTATCACACTGCTTTATGGCTCAGCTCTTTAGTTTCTCGCTCTCAGGGGCTAGATTTTCCCTCATGAGCTCAATATATGCCTCAAATGAATGTGATTTTTAAGATGACCTTTTCCTGTGCTCCCAAAATCGCCTGTAAGAGGCTGGGGCTGTCCTGGCCATAGCAGGTGCCCAGCTCTAGCCTCCCCAACCTGCACCATGCCAAGGGTGTCTTACACTGCTTACATTTGGCTTAATTATAGAACAGTCACTGGAATATTAAAGTTTAACACACAGGAGAGAATAAGCTAGTCCAGAAAATGCATAATTTCCCTGTACCACCAGCCCTTGTCTCCTCTCTCCTGGTCCAGCACTGCTCTCCTGGCAGCACCAAAACTGCATCTGAGACAAGCGAGGCAGGGAGCATCGCTCATCGCCTCCATACCTTGTTTTAAATGGCAGGGCTCTGTTCCAGCTATACCTTTTGCCCTTCCCTGTAATCACTGCTGCAGTGGGAAGGTGCAGGCAGTACTGGGAGGGCAGGCAGCAGTTGTGCCCACAGTGGGAAGCGGCTGCTGGAAGGTGCGCTGCACAGCCTGGTGCAGTAAGTGTGGTGCTGCTGCTGTGGGCGGGAAGAGGTAAAAGTATTCACCATGTACTAAAGGTCCATGCAAACCTATCCACATGGAGGGGTGCTGGGCCTTGCCCATCTAGGGCCAACAGCCACACCCGGTCCTCCCACCCAGCTGGCAATGTGCACAGGGACCCACCGCCTTGGTGATGGGATCCACTGCTGCAGTGATGGGCTCCTACACCCCTCCCAGCCCCTCTCGTAGTGCATTCACCTCTGCCAGCACCTCGGCAGCTGAGTGCTGCTGAGGCCACGCCAGGAGGGGGAAGGACCAAAGGCATCCTCACATCCCTGTGCTGTTCAAATTTAAAGATGCTGTAAAATGTCACAATAACTGGAAAGGCAGTAGCCCTGTTTTTATTAATAGCGAGTATTTATTAGCCTCCTCGATTTACAGTACGTTTATGAAAGCCATCAGTCCATCACATTCTTCAGCGCAGGGCTGAGTTGGTTTTCTTGATCAACACAATATGGAATATAGATCTGAATATTAGAAGCCAAATACAACCTTCATTTTGCATGCACATATCCCACCAACGGGAGGCCCGCAATTAATCCTGTATAGCCCTTAGACACATGCATTGGCAGACATTTGAGGAAGGTGGGAGCTTCTGTACATCACCACTGGAAACCCACAGGGTGTCAGCTTCTCCACAGGACCACCATCGGGGCCAGAGCAATCCTGCAGTGTCCCCCTCATTACCAGGATGGTGGCATACAGATGGAAATGCCATCACCCATTCGTGCAGCCTGCATGATGTTCATGTGGCACATGGCACATAGTGGCTTTGCAGCTTGCCGCTCCTACAACCCACCCAGGTGCCTTGCTGAGGCCATACTGCATCTGTCTACCTGGCCATCATCTGTTGGGCAGTGCTCCTCGTGACAGGCCAGGTGAAATTACCCTGAAGCCTCTACTCCCACTATCTGAGCTTTATCACCACTAAAGATGAAATAAAAATAAGAGCAGCAACAAACAAGCCTCTACCAGATGTGTAACCCTATCCAGCAAGGGTTGCCATTTTGGAGTGAGTGTTTTGAGTGTATTTTTGTGGGGTTTTTTGTGAGTTTTTTTTTTTTTCTTTCCCACCGTAATTTCATCTTTCCCAAGGAAAAATGTATTGTTTGACCCCTGTGGGAGATGAATATGAGAGGGCAGCTCCTGGAGGAGACATGATCAGGGTGCACCCGATGGAAGGCAGCAAGATTTTGTTGACCTGGAAGTGGGATTGGGTACAACACAGACCCAAGTGGTGACCCATCCATAGCTGCTAGGGGAACTCCATGGGAGAAGAAGCAGAGAGTGAGGAGACTTGAACTTCGATGCATGTTAGTGTCAGGAAAATGGGCTTAGAAATAAAATACATGGACAAAATGCCCTCAGTTTGAAAGCAGCTTTTCAAGCCAAAAAAAAATCAAAGCTAAGTTCCCCACCTCCCTTGATCAACTCTCAGCCATCAGATCGTGCTCTTCTTTGGACTGTTATAAATGCTGAACCTCAGGAAAGCAGACACTGTGTATGTGGCCCAGCAGCTGCAGGTTAACACAGCTCACAGCTTTCATTTACCCTGCTATACCCAGGGATGCACACTGCCTTTCCCTGCCATGCTTTGCAGCTCCCCAGTGTCCTTCCCAGCCCTGCATGGTTCCTTTCTGCAGGACACAATGCCCACAGAAAGAGCCCACCACACCATGCTGCTGCATTGGGGCACAGAGCAGCTGCTCCAGCAGTGCCACAAAGCAAGCACATCATCAGGTTCTGCCTGCACTCAGACAACATGGAGCCAGAGGGCAGCCCCAGGAGCTGCTCAGCACACAGAGCCCTGGAGACAATGGAGCAGCACCACATGGGAGCTGCAGAGCAGCAGTTGCGGAGCAGCCAGTGCCAGGAGCACAAACTGGGGATGGAGCAGTGCAGTGCAGCTCACAACAAAACAGCCAGAGCAGAACGTGGCACAGAAGAGGCACAGCTGTGGTACCTGCAGCAATTTTACCAGGACTGCCTGGCCCAACTCAGACTTAAGTCTGCCAGCTCGGTACCCAAGCAAGCTCTGATCCCCAACCCACAGCTGCTTCATTCTCCATTCCCACTCCACAGCACAGTCCTAGGGAGCTACAGCCCATAAATCCCACCCAAGACAGCACAAAAATGCACACTTATCTTCTGTTCCACAAAGCACTTGGGAACCAACCAGAGAAGTTCTTGTCTGGGGGCTACTCTTGGGGCAAGGCACGCAGGAGAGCTCTGTGGAGTGGTGGCCTGAGGCAAGGCACAGGGAGCAGTGCAGCCGGGGCAGGGCTGGGCCTCATTGGCATCAAATCTGCCCCAAATCTGTGGGCCCGGCTGGGGGCTGACTGCCAACAGTGACACAACAAAGGAGGTCACAGATCCTGTCGACCCCGAAGCACGCTGGTTAACAGCAGAAATGATAACAGCAGTCACTATAGGTCTGTCACATATGGGCAGCAGCAGGGAGCCTGATGATGGTCACCAGGGCCAGGTGTGAGCCCTGTGGGGATGGAGCACCACTCCTGTGCATGGCGACAGTCATGGTCACTGCCCTTGGCCACTAATGGCAAAGTAAAGAAAGAGCGAACAAAACCTAAAACTCCAACATTTATTATGGTGATTGCCCACCTGCCATGGATCCACACTGTGTTTTGTTTTATTTGTAACTCATAACGTGAGGTGCACTTTATGGGAAATGGAGACAACACATGGAGCCGGGTCCTCCGCACAGGGCCAACATGTGGACAGAGTCCTCTCCTCAGGGCCAGAGACCCTGGGCAGCCCTCGATCTTGGTAGGCATTTTTGCTTTTTTGTTCTTAGAAAAAGAAATAAACAAACAAAAACTGAACAAAAGTAGTGTTGTACTCTATTACAAAATATAAATACGACAGTCCTGCAGGCTGGAGGAGCTGGGGGACGCTGCCGTTGGCGGGACGTCAGGTGCTGCGGGTCACAGCAAGCCACAGGATGGGGACGCCTCCAGACACGTCCACTGCCAGCCGCTGGCCCCGCTTCATCTCCTCTCAAAACTTAAGTGCTCTTGAACTTCCATCCGAAAACTGCCAGGCATCCGAGGCTCCCTGGGCACCGCGCCAGCTGGGGGGGTACACCGCACCTGGAGAGCATGGGGACAGAGGAGAGGACAAGTGTGACACGGACCAGAGTGCAACTCCTGCCCCTATTGTCTTCCCTAAGCAGCGAGGGGTGAAAGCTGCCCCCAGTCCCACACCCTTTGCCAGAACCCTCTGCTCTCTGCTGAGGCTCTAGACAGACCAAGCCCACCTGCCTCACCACTGATCCCCACATCTCGTTGACCTCCCCCAGCACCAGAACAAATCCCTCCCCAAGCTATCCCCAAGCACTGCGCTGCTGACCCTGCACCACCTGTTAAGATGCACCCAGAGCACTGGCACCACAAGCCCCACACCGTGCATGGGGCACCGCTTCTATGGGATCATTTTGATCATGCTTAGGAGCTTAGCCACAGTGCTGGTGCAGGGCTATATGTGGACGACCCACCAGCCGCATCCCCCCAGTGTGCTGGGGTGGTTGCCCCACACCTAGAGCACATGCCGCACCTCACAAAGGAAAACCCTTCGTTTGTTCTGTTCACTCTGAATCCGACCTGTTTCAGTTTGACTTGCGGCAGCGTCAGGGGCCAAGCACACCGCAATCGCTCAGGGCCAGTGGAGCCCATCCTAGCACAGGACAGTGGGTGCCGGAGGCTCTACATTGCACTTGTGGGGCCTGGCTGTGATTCTGCCTGCTGCATCACGCTCCTGCACGGTACTGTGACCTTCCCATACAGCCTCCAAAAACAGTTCTAAGCATTTATGGGGGAAAACATACAACCGGAGCATGCACGAGCTGTAGCAACAGCTGGCATCTCTTTGCTTGCTGTAGAAACTGCACTCCAATAAACCCTGAAACTGTATTTCATCAGACAGCCACAGCCTCCAAGGCCAAGCAAAATCATGGGATTGCTTATTCCTGTATTTGTTTCCACGCTTGGAAACATAAATACGAAACATCTGTAGCCTGAATTCCTGATACTGTTTCAGTGCCTTCATTCTATAAATCACTCAATTTAGAGAATATTAAATATTTATGGCAACGGGTCTCTCCAGCGGATGGGGTCTGAGCTATGATCGGCAGCAATGGTGCTACCGAACACTGCTCTCAGGTACAGAGATGTAGAAATTCAGAGGTTCCTGGAGCACAGGCTGCGCTGTGCCTGGGCTCTGCACCGCTGGGAAATACTGTGGCTCTGTGGCTTCAGTTTCAGCATTCAGGCTGCAGCCACGGGACTGTGCTCCTGGAGGGCTGAGCGCAAACCAAGCGCTGCCCAACACAAGAGCCATCGCCATCAAGGCACACTTTCCACCCTTGCATGTGTTAGTCGTGCATTGCACGTGGCCCATTCAAGCCTCTATGGGGCACATGACTATCGCATACATGAAAGGTAGCACAGAGAAACCGGCAGCTCCCTTGGGCAGCCCCACTCTGGTCTCCCTTCCTCCTGGCTGGGGCTAAAATTGAGCTTTCCTCTTTTAACTCAGAGTCGCTGTCATTTTACATACATAGGTGACACGCAACCTTTCCCATCTACATCCCAACTCCCCCTTTGCAAGGGCAAAATACAGGCAATGAATGATG